TTGTATTTATCCGCGTGTTAACGCGGATTCTATTCTACTTAACAATAATTCACAAACTAATTAAAACTAGCCTATGTGGCTTAATCAAATCCAGTGTAGAATTTTTTTTTTAGTGTTATTAAGCCCAATTTTTCTTTTTAATTTTGATGCCATTACAAGAAAAAAAAGATTATCTACAACTAAATTGTTTTTCTTTTAATTAACTGATTCTCTACACTGTTTTTAAACAAATAATTAGCCCAAATTAAAAAATAATGATAACCAAAACCGACGAAGGAAAATAAAATGTGAAAAATAAATAGAAACGAGGAACGAGAGGCTTAAACTTGAAAAACCCTAATATTGAGTAGCGCCGCGAAAAAGCTTTCTCTGAGCAACAACAATGGCGGGAGGGAAGATAAGGAAGGAGAAGCCTAAAGCTTCGAATCGAGCTCCTTCTAACCATTACCAAGGAGGTATTTCCTTCCACAAATCGAAAGGTCAACATATCCTCAAAAACCCTTTGCTTGTTGATTCGATTGTTCAAAAAGCTGGGATTAAGAGTACCGATGTGATTCTCGAGATCGGTCCTGGTACTGGTAATTTGACGAAGAAGCTTTTAGAAGCTGGTAAAGAAGTTATCGCAATCGAACTCGATTCTCGTATGGTTCTCGAGCTTACACGCCGTTTTCAAGGAACCCCATATTCCAATCGCTTGAAGGTAACACAACACAACACAAATTTGTTCTTACTCGTTTCTGGGGAATTTAGGGTTCGTAAAGCTTGATCTTAGTATTGATTGTGTAATTCTGGAGCTTAATTGGTGTGTTAACAACTTAAAGATATGTAATTTGGAAGAAATGTTCGTTGATTGTGTGTTTGCTGTTTCCTCAAAGGTGATTCAAGGTGATGTGCTTAAGACTGAGCTTCCTCGGTTTGACATATGTGTGGCCAACATTCCGTATCAGATATCGTCTCCTCTTACATTCAAACTACTCTTCCATCAATCGAGTTTTCGATGTGCTGTGATTATGTACCAAAGAGAGTTTGCGATGAGACTCGTTGCTCAACCGGGAGACAATCTCTACTGCCGTTTATCGGTCAACACTCAGCTATATGCCAGAGTTTCTCACCTCCTCAAAGTCGGGAAGAACAATTTCCGCCCGCCTCCGAAAGTTGATTCTTCGGTTGTTAGAATTGAACCGAGGAGACCGCAACCTCAGGTGAACAAGAAGGAGTGGGATGGGTTTTTAAGAGTCTGTTTTATCAGAAAGAACAAAACTTTGGGATCGATTTTCAAGCAAAAGTCTGTTCTTTTGATGCTGGAGAAGAACTTTAAGACTCTTCAAGCTGTACTAGCTTCGTTGCAGAACGATGGTTCTGCTTTGAATGCTACCGCGATGGATCTTGGTGACCAGAGCATGGGAATCGAAGATGACGACAAC